TTTCCAAGAACAGCCAGACACATTTCTGTTATTTCATCTTTGGCCTTGCAGTCAACTTTGGCCCCCTTGATCTTCCATGAGCAGTTTAAGGCTGGGATTCCTGCTGTGTTTTCAAACTATAGTCTATTACTTTCAGTGCAGTCACTTTCAGTGAGTCCCCAAAGAACAACCCTAAATTTCCCAAATGGGCACATGCAGTCTTATACATCCGAGATGCTTGTTTCTGAGCGGTCCTATTCTGAAGCATCCGACACTTCCTTTCCCACAAGAAGGAAAATTCCCTTCATCTGATGCTCTTATAATAACAATGTTAATAATTACTGCCTGGCTCAAAAACCAAGCTCGTGCTTCACCTTCATTTTAGTCGGTGTATTGTGATGTCTTAGAGTGCCTGCTTGTAGTAATATGTTATTAGATCTTAATTGGGTAATGAAAGGGTGAACGGGCCGGGGAGCCGTGCGGTGAATAATGCGGTTAGTCATCCCGTCTTGCGTAAGCGGCGCTGCTAGCGCCGCACCGAGAAGGCTCCTATAGTTACATGCCTTCATTTCCCTCAGTGTGACACTGCTGGATTTAATTAGATTTTATGGGATCTAAGCTTACAAAAAGGCTCCAAGTTCGGCATTCAAAAACCTGACAAATGGGATGACCTTTTTTTTTTCCCTCTCCGAAGATAAAGCTGCCCTGTGTCCCTGGGCTGCTGAATAATCACAAGGAGGCAGCAGGTTTTGGCTGAAGGGATGGGGCACAAGGCTTGTGCTGCATGGAGGGGCACACGGGGGCACAGGTTTCTGGTTAGCAAAGCTGTTGAGCAGTGCTTAATAGTGACTTTGAAAAGAAGCAAAACTGTTCTAGCAGCTTGGGATAGATAGGAATGAACTATTAGAGTTCTCTGCTTTCCTAGCTTGCCTCTGTCTTATTTATGAAATAGTCTTAGGTTCTTGTGTTAAAATTTAGAAGCTGTGCATTAGAAAGCAAATAGGCCTCAATATTCTGAATCACTTACATATGCATGCATGCAGAGTGTATGCCTGTCAAAATTAAATCTTCTCACAAGAAAATGACTTAACGCACAGGTATTTACTTTCTGCCATCATACAGCCCTGCTGTAACCTAGACTTATAGCCAAGATATCAACGGTGCACTCAATTCCTTAAAAAAAAATAATGTAGGATACTCTGCTGAGATGGGGTTAGAGGGCTCCTTGTGTTTCTTGGTGTGGGTCAGCGTAGGTTTGACCCATGTTTTGCTGATGCTGAAAGGTGGCTCTTTGGCATCTGGGCAGCAGCTGTGACCAGGTTGTGCTTGCACAAAGTCTCCAAGCCATGAAGTTTCTTAGGATATAGCTTTTCACAGCCACATTGAGGAATGTTCACGAAATGTTTTCCTAGTAAGTAAATTAGGCAAGCACATCTAGGATTTTTAATGAGATGGAGATAATTTGCATCTTTTACTAGGTCTGGAATATCTTTGGAGGAAACAACCTATTTCTCACAGCCTTTCACGTAAGGAAAGACTTGCTGTTTCTTGGGAATAAAGCATATGGAGACGGTGAACATGCAGCTCTAGGGATGCCGTTGGCTTGTGCCTTGGTACTGCAGACAGAACAGGAAGGTTTGACCAGGAAAGAGCCCACTGGAGCTGGCAGACTCTTCTATTTTTGGAGTGGTCCCTGTTTGTAAAGCTAGATTTTGTGGCTGCCTAATGCAGACACTGCCAGGGCTTTGTACGTGAGTGGAGTTGCCCTGCTGAATGTTATGGTTCCTGCTTGTAATGGGGTTGTGCTGCAGAGCAGGAAGGCTGCGCACCGGGTGTTCGCTCCCGAGCCCGCACACCGCTCTGTGCTTGTCCAGGGCTGGCTGGGAGCACTGCGCCCTTGCTTGACCCGTGACAGTTTTGTTTTGCTTTTTTTTAATTGGTAAAGTAAATAGGAAACGGTCAGTATTTAATTCTGAGAGGAAACAGCAAGTGATCCCAACACTTGTGAATGGTTTCAAAGAACTGGCTGAACCAAGGACTCGCTTAAAAATCAGGCTTTATTCCTTTCAACTCCAAAGAGAACAGACACAGTCTGTTTGGATGTGGCTTGAATAACCTTTGTTAAGGCTAAAATTTGGGGCAATTGACTTTGGTTTAGCGTCCTACAAACTTCATATGTCTAAGCAGCCACTTACAGTTTTCAACACAGTGGGCAACAAAACCGGCGCAAACTCATGCTTTTTTAGCAGCTCTAATTTGTGTCTATAATTCAGTACCAATATGGAATTTTCCTTTTGCCCTGCAAAGCCTCTCAACACCTCACAGTAGCCAACTGCGCCGTGAATCATTTATGCCAGACGTGAATGTCCTGCTTACCTGCCGGCACCGACCCACGAGCGAAGCGCTGCGAGGCGAGCGGGGCTGCCCGCCCTGCGGCCTCCTATGGCAGCGTCAAAATGAGCTGAGCTTCAGCTAAAGCAGAAAACTTGCCCATTTCTACCTGAAGGATAAAAGGGGGCACCTTTGTAAAGCTAAGCAGTTCATAAGACATCAATTAACGTGCTAGTTTATCCTTCAGGAATTAGTTCTGTCGCACCGACCTGATGCCGCACAGGGCAGCGATGCCAAGAATGCTTCTTTGTTTAACTTTTCTTCTGTTATTTCTGTCTCTGTGTTTCTCCTGTGTGTCAGTGCAGTGGTTAAAATGATATTTTTAATGCAGTGGAAAGAGTTAATGCTTTCCTTAAATTGGAGTTGTTGCATAGGGGAGAGAAGACCAGCTGTGGAGCTTGTTTTGAAACTATCCCAAGTGTGTCTGTTTGCAGACGAATCGATGACAGTGTGGATTTGCAAACTCTCACGACTCGAATAACTCTCCCTGCCCCCACATTTGGTAGGTGCTTGTCTGGCGCTTTGGGAACTTGCCTCGTGTTTAGTCTAATGGTGCAATCTCTTAGATTGCAAAAAAAAAATTTCAGCACTTTTGCAACAGACATGAATAATGAGTTGCTGAGCTGTCTGGAGTTACCCTTTTGGTAAAACTAACCTTAAAATACCATGAAACCTTAAGTGGGGCTGTCACCTCTTTCCTCTAGCCCTTCTTGGGGCTGTCAGTGCTTGCTGCTGGCCCGACCCTGGTGTGAACCCACCTCCGTGTTGAACTTGTCATGGCTTCTTACTTGGTTCAAGCTGGATTTGAGTTGTAAAGGTAGAAAGGAAGTGGTGTCTCTGGGTTGAGCTAGTGTGTTGATCTGTTTGTTCTTGCCACTTGAAAATAATTTGGATTTCAGGAAAAGTTGTATAGATATAGAAAGATCCATGGCGGATGAACCTGCTGCCTTGGCCAGCCTGGAGGAGTGTCTGCTGCTGGGTCTGCCAAAGGAGCTCCCTTCGTGTTCGCCAGGCTCCTCGGCGAGGGCTTTAAATTGCAGGCTAAACTGGCAGGAATTTGAGCGTTTTATGGCAGCGATTCACGTGCTGCTTTCCTGACTCCTCAACTCTGCAGCCTGGGTTGCTTGGTTTACTTAATGCTTCAGCATCTGGTGGCAATTCTAGTTGTGTTGGAGTGACACATGTATTGCCAGCAAATTGGTTGGTTGTAGGATGAGCTGCTTTGGAACCACTCAAAATAGCCTGGGATCTCAGAAAATAGCATTGTGGACATTGGAGAAGCTTTCCCATTTTTTTCCGACTAGAAATGATTTTTTCCTTTGGTCATGACTTAAATAGGAAAAAAAAAAAAGATATTTTCAAACTGTTTGTAAACGTGACCTCAAAATCAGAGCATTTGTGAAAGCAGGTTTGCTTTGCAGTGGGAAATGCTGCTTTTTGACTGCGTGCTGCTTTATCACAGCAAGGGGACCTAGCTCAGGAGCCCCCATTCCCGCTCTTCCCTGCGCGCTGCCGTTTCCAGCAAGAGGGGACCTGCGGTAACATCCCAGCATCTCCTCCTGCTCCCAGGGGCACAAGTGCCGGGTGGGAGATGTGGCGGCATCTCCGTTGCTGGAGGACAGAGGCCCGCGGACTCAGCATGACCGCGGCCCCTCCGGAGCCTTCGCGCCGGGGCAGCCGTGGCGGCGGCCGTGGTCCCTGGGCGCTGGGGGGCCGTGGGCGGGTTGGCCCCTGCCAGCGGCATGGGGCAGCAGAGGGGTCCCCGGGACCTGCTGCCTCCCCACACAGAGCGATGGATGCACAGGCACCTGGCACGATCCGCACTGCAAACCACAGCTGCTGCTGCTGCAGTGGGAGGAGTAGTGACCCTCTGAGCATCAGCGCAGAGTAGAAAGCTTTTATCTCCTCTGAAAACTTAAAGGATTTCCTTAGCACATAAAAAAAAAAAAAAAAGTGGTTTTTAGCTTGTAAGGTAAAGATGTAGTGACTGCAGAGGAGCTGCTCCTCAGCAGGGACTAACTTTATTAGCTGCTGCTAGGTCAGTGATAAGGAACGTGTATGAGGGGGTTCTTAATTTTATTCTGCTCCCGTGTTGTAATCTCTGTATTCGGCCAGGTACATGGAACACAAACGTTTTCCGCCCCTGCTAATCTCAGCCCTGAGTAGGCTGGAAGGAGCAGCACTGCGGGCCCATGTCTCCCAGGCCCTCCCGCAGCCTTTGGGGCTCCCCAGCTGGGCTCTGGATCCCTTGAGCAGTCTCCTGCTGGTGCACACTGTGAATCCATGTTTCTGAAGTTCTGCAAGGCAGGAGTTCGTGCTCATCTCCCGTCAGTGCCTTTCTGCCAGGTGATTTACACCCTTACGCTCAGAGTATGCTATTTCTGGACCTAATGCATCAGTTGCTGTGGAAGATGTAAGCAATGCAGCTTGGTGTTTTCTGCTTCAAAGTGAATATCTAACCCCCTTTCTCTGAATCCATATCCCAAATACTTTCCTTACAGAGATATCTCCATTTGTATTTGCAGAAGCTCAAGTTCCATACAAGGGTGATTATCACAATACTGACTGTCTTAGCATATGTTTGGGTGCCTATTGACAGCATTCTTTTTCTCTTCTTTTTTTCTAGGACGTGGAAATTTGAGAAATGAACAAATTACGGCAAAGCTTTAGGAGAAAGAAAGATGTCTACGTCCCAGAGGCCAGCAGGCCTCATCAGTGGCAGACTGATGAAGAAGGAGTTCGTACTGGCAAATGTAGCTTTCCTGTTAAGGTAAGAGCTTCTGCCGTTCCTTTGGTCAGCCATGCGGTGCTCTGGCCATGAAATATTATTTGGGTTTTTCTGGCAAGCATAAGCCAGGGACATGCTTCATTACACAGTGACCTATTTTACAGCTAGCTCTCATTGCACAGGATGTGGGTTCTTTTTTTTCAAAAGCCACATGAATCATGTAACAAATGTCTTGGAAAATTGCTGTCTGATATACTACATCATTGAAATAAATCATGTAGCTAGGCAGAGAGCTAATATAATATTTGTTTTCATTTTTCTGGAAGAACAGAAATGATAACCCCCTTAGACTGCATAGAAAAAGTACTTAGTTCTGTTTATTAAAAGCAAAAGTACCGGCTGCAGGTTTGCTTGGAAGGTAAGTGGGGGACTGTGCTTGCCAAGGGAGCCTTCTTCCCTTTCTGTAATTGGAAATGTTGCAAAATTGAAGGAGTTGCAAAACAAGAGCTGTCCTCCAGTGCTCGTGGTACAAGCAGCTGCTAAGCTTTGAAAGCATCCCTTGCCTTGTGGTATATGATAAAGCATATATGCTATATGTATTTTATATTTATGTATATTTACATGTGTTTATTATATAATGTATGAAAATAGGATTGGTGTGTCTGTATCTGTTAGAAGTTATTATTGCGTTTGGAAGTTTGACCTATTTGATTCCTCGGTCCTCATTCTAGATCACATATTATAAGAGTTTGGTTCTTTTTAATGTCATTTCTGCTTCTCTTTCTTAAGATGTGTGCTTTGCCCTGCCATGTCTCTGTTGAAAAAGCTTTCTGAGTTGCTTCATGCGAGGAGGGCTTTAACACATGACCCCTCCATGCTTGTCAGTGCCTATACTGCACAGTACAGGATGGCTCCAAAGGTGCAGGTGCATCGTGGTAGGAAAAAGACAGATAATTGGGGTGTTTTGCTGCATGCCCTCTGTAACCCAAACCTTCCTCCCTCAAGACGCACTAATATCTCTGTAACAGGTCTTTAGCAGCTGATGCTAAAAGTTCAGCTTTAAATCTCTCTTCCTGAGGAAAATAATGTCTATGCTGCTGGCACCTACGGATCTTTTGTTAGTTTTCCTCTGTGTTGTACCTGAGGTAACTCCGTGCAGTGGTTAAAGAAGTGGTTAAAGTCCTACCTGCTGGGTGGGACTGTCCAGGCTGGCTCCTGGCTGTGAGGTGTTTTTGCAGAGCTGTGAGTATGAGTGGATGCGCAGCAAACTGGAGATAACTTTCACACTCAATTTATTCACTGTGTTATCCTAATGTAGTTGCTTGTGCATGCTTTTGGGGACGTTCAGGTGTGTGTAACGTGCAAACCAAAGCCCTGGCATGTTAGGGTAGCTTATTGCTTTGCCCTTGTCTTACGTTAGCTTTGCATTAGCACCAAGGGCCCAAGCGTGGTGCGAGGAAGGGCTGGTGCTTTGTCAGGCCTTCTGGAAGTGCTCTGTGCCAGCTTCACCTCAGAGCGTGATTTTTTTAATATTAACACTGTGCAGGTGAGAAATTTAGGTTGAATTAGATTGAAATTCACTTGTACAGTTGAGTTAATCTGTCCATTGGAAAAAACTGCCCTGCAATAAAAGCGTCTTTACGTAGGTTTCCACATTCAGTCAGAGGGGTGGGCTGCTTGTCCTCAAAGAGGCTGCAACGAGATGAAAACTTCTCCTTAGCACAATTTGCCATCAGGCAGAGCGGTAGCTTATTCAGCTAGAATTTCTCTCCTAAAATCCTGTGCCTTGAGGTGGACAGCAGTGGAAAGTTTTGTTAGGCTTGGGGTGCCGAGTGGGTGTTAGCTGGAGCGCAGCAGATAGAGGCAGGAAATATGCCATTGTGAGCCACCAAGATAAACCAGATGTGGAGTCATCAGGTTAGTGGGTGGTACTATATTTTGCTCGCGAAAAGAATAGGACTTTGTGCTGCTGAAGGAGAGCATCCTGTCACGCAGCCCTTGGGTATTATTCAGAAATCCATATGCGCCAGGAAGAGCTGTCACCCATTGCCTTAAATATCTGGTGGGATGACTTTTCTTACTTGGTGGAGCAGGAGAAACTGAGATGTCTTGGAGAAAATGCAGTGAAGTCTGAAACATAATGAGAACATTTTTTATTTTTTTAATTTCAGAGACCCTTCCAGAGTCTGTTGTCCGCAGTGTATCGGCTCAAACACAGTTTAATATGTTTTTATGATGGTTATGTTTGACCTTAATCTTTGTGGGCAGCCTTTTGCACTGTAAAAATTATCAACATGGTTCTTCAGAGCTCAAAATACGCCCGAGTGACAAGACGGGAGTCCCACTTCTAAAGAGATGACAATTACTTCACCTGTGAGGCTGAAGAAGACCTGAGAATTGTTAACAAGTATCTCTGCAGCTGTATTGAAGGTTTCCTTTCTGAAAGAAAAAATTGGGAAAGTAACATAGTAGGAGCCATGGTGAAGTATTGCTGCTTTTAATACTTAATTATTTAGATTTGATTCCTAAGTTCTGATTTTTGGGAAGAGGAGACCATTTTGAAAGCAGCCTCGTGAAGGTTTACTTTGGTTTCTCATTAGACAGATCTTCTCCCATCAGAGTGTGATGGGAGAAGATATATCATGCTCTTGAACTAGCGTTAAGTTGATGTGTGTTCGGTTTCTTGCCTTCAGGTCTTTTTTTTTTTTTTTTTTTTTTTTCTTTTTCCCCATAGTAACCACTGGAACACTCTATCTTCTTTCTCACCTTGAAAAACAGCAGCTAGAATATTAGAGAGGTATTATAAAATACAGTGAAAGCAAGCTTTTTTTTTTTTTTTTTTTTTTTCTTCCCTCTTTCCCTTGGAGTCAGGATGTTTGTAGAGAGCTACCACAGGTTCATCTCTCTTTTAGCTTTTAGCAGAACATATGGAACCACTTGGAAAGTCCTGGTGGAAAGCGAATTTCATCTCCCCCCCAGGCTCTGTCTGTGAGCGTTGGACAGGGGCTCCAGGAGCTGCTGCTCCTCAGGCTTCGGGGATGCTGCTCTGCAAACAAATTTAATGTTATTAAAAGGCTTTCTCCACCAGCACTGTACTTGATAGATATCCTGCGCTGCATTAACAGCTGACCCCTAGTGTAAATTACAGCCTATAAGTGTGGCAGAGGACTTGAGCAAATCTGCTCTGTGAAATGTTTGCTTCTGGATAGAGTGGGTTTTCTGTGGAACCTATTGGTCCAATTCCTGTTACAGAGTTGCCTTAAAATTGGGGGAAGTGGATTCGGTGCGCAGGTGGTTCCCCGTGTTTCTGTCCTCCTTGTAAACGTGTTAGACTTCGTGTTAGACAAGTGTGGCTTGCAGACTGTGTCCGCTGGGCACGTGGCCTTAATGCTCCATTAGCTCGTGTGCATCTTTGATAGATCTGCTCAGAATTCCCCCCTCATTGTTACATGTGAAACCACTTCAGCTGCTGAAAAATGTGCACAGAGATTTATTTTCAAAGGTGATCATGCTCTTCCACTGCCCTGAGAGAAATTACAACTGCTGGATTTCAGCAGCAAATCCTCCCTCTGAGGGCAAAAAGACTTTGCCAGAATATGTAATGTATAAGAGACTTGGATGGAGACACTGGGCTTGAAACTATTCAGCAGATTATTCTTACAGATGATAAAGCCACTCTTATCAGTGATATAATTTCTTTTTACACGGTCTTCATAAATCATAATAGCAAAAATCGACATACACATCTTAAAAATTGCTGCCTTGCTCCAGACACTACCTCACTGAGAACATGCAGCTGGTCTGTGTTTTAATGACTAAAGTATTTGACACTAGGGCTTCTTTTGTCTGAAATGCCTTTTCAAATGTCCCTCTGGGTAAGTTTTTTTTATTCATACAAATGCACTTTAGAGTAACTGGCCTGTGAAATTTCTATCAGAAAAATTAGGTCATTTCCCTCTGTATAACAGAACTAAACAAATCAAATATTTGGAAATTCTTGGTTCTTCTGACCAGTTGGACACAGTAACTAGAAGAGGGACAGCCGATTCCCACTTGTGAGTTCAGGGGACTCAACAGTCAGAGGGATCAGAGATTAATTTGGTGCATGTTTTCTCTGGTTGATCTCTCTTGACCTTAATGTGTCTAAGAATACTACTGATTTTACATTTATATTTAAGTATTTTACTCTGTTTTGAAGACTAAAGATAGCAGTTAGCGAAGTCTCTGAAAGAGATGGCTGCCAAAAAGTCTGCGATTTGTTGCTGAATGCCTGCTACCAAGGGAAGTAGCCTTTCCGTTAAATCCTGATTTCGGGTTACCGCTGACAAATAAAAATTGTTATCAATATGTTTACACACGCAAGATCTAATTTCAGAGCCCATATCCTTCCCTGCTTTTCCCATTCAGCCCTTGCAGCGATGGGGGAAGTTTGGACCATGTAGTGTTGCTTTATGTCCAAACCCCCGTAGAAGAAGAGGGGACGACTTGCACTGAGCCTCGTAGCTTATTCTCCCTGAGACTTCTGAGTGTCACTTCCCATCGCTGGGATCCCTGTGACACAGGAGCTGGTTACATAATTAGCTGGTTCATGGCTCCGCTGAAACTGCCAGCAGTGGAAAATAGGCCACTTGTGTCACTGGGCGGCGGGCCCTACGAGCTGCCACGTTGCCGTCTTCCTTGTGCAGTTTGTGTGTTGATCCTTACTGCTTCGTGTCTAGCTATAAACTTCATCTTAAATAAATATGAACATAAATGCTGGCCAGCAGGTTGATGTTTAAGTGCCTCTGTGTTAAATATATGATGTTTTTGACCAGGAAAGCATTAAGATTCTTGAATATCCTTTGGAAACTATGCTAAGCTTTTTAAGTAATCAAATGTGACAAATCTGCTGATTCCTAAAAGTGTTGCCCAGCTTTGCACATGTAAACACCACAAATCCCTGCCTCTTAAGGCATGAATTGATGCTAGCAGTGAGCAAGAACCGTTCTGACTGAATGCTAACCCAGAAGCCAGTGTGTGTACAGTTTTCAGCTGCTCCAGCAGTTAACATTTAAGATCACAGGAAAAAAAACAAAGCCTCGAGGCAACTAATTATAGAAGAATGGGGATCGTAGCAGAAAGTGTGAGGATGCCTTAAATATACTTCTGCGCATTGTTATGATGCAAAGGAATAGAGTACAATCTCTAATCTTTAAACTTTTCAGATTTGTGTACAACTGCCAGTTGTTTGCGAAGCCTTGCAAAAATGAGTTTTATATACAGCTTATTGCACAACTTGAAAGCTCTCCTGTCTTTGGCCAAAGCTAATGTTTTGAATAGTTTAATAAGCTTCAAATAAAGAACAATATTCAAATAAAGATTTGAATATTAATCTCCGGAACAAAGTAAAATGCAAGGTTTCCATAAAAATGGTGTGGATGTCGTTGCAATAGTCTTTTAAATGCAATTTAGATATTGGAAACCAAAAAGTTATCCCTGGTTTATTTTTAAATTCTGTTTTTATCTTCCTCAAATTCTTGCAGTACTTGGAGAAAAGGTACAGGTACACCTGGGCAGTGTGTTTCTAAACTTTGAGTTATCAACACTTAATAAAAAAATCATCTTCAGTTTATTAAATAACGCTGAATTGGGAATGTAGGAATTGCACATCAGAACAAACAGTTGAAACCCAGAAGTCTGCCAGCAAATACATGCAGATGTAGAGGGTCTAGGAGAAATAGTTGGTTTAAGCTTCCCAAAAGGTTGATTTAGGATAGACATTAACAAGAGCAACTCATCGGAACAACCCTCCTTTCTAATGTAAGGGTTAAGGTCTAGAATAGATGGTCTAACCTACCAATCTTCTGCCATGGGAATGTCATAATACTGCAAGGCTGCCTTCTGCAGTGCAGATGTGGAAGTGGGCCCTGCCTTGAGACAGGTCATGTCCTGACTAACCTCCCGAGCTGCTTTGCAGCCTCGGGCTGGGATTTGTGAGAATATGAAGAATAAAGCCTTTGGTTATTCCATACCCAGTATGGCATGAATAGTTCCAGTGATACGGAGTTGCTGGAAGGGCCACTCAACAACTTCCCCCCAAACATTTGATGTCGTAATTAATTAGTTCATTTTTAGGTGAAGTCAAAAAAAACTTTGTACGATTGAAAAAGAGTTTAGTTTCTGAAGTGCTTTTTAAGTTTTGAGGGCGTGTTATGTGCTAGTTTGACTTGTACTTCTGCAAAGTGCTTTCTATTATTTGTCCAAGACTAATAGCAAAACCCATCATCTGTGAAAGAGAACACAAATTTTGTTGTGTGGAGGTGAAGATTGAGTTTATCGCTTACTGTACCATCATCTCATCAATTTTTCTTTCCGAGGTAATTTAAACAATAACTTTGAAAAAATGCGTTTGGTTTGAACATTTCTCCAGCAGCCTCTAAAGGTATTTTATTTTTGTTGGAGCTTTTATATTATGTTGTTTTATATGTGTTCTCTACACACAAGGATTTTTGTTTTCTGCAAAAGCACTATTGGCTAATTTTTGGTGCAAAGATTAAATCTCCTAGAGAACATCTGGCTGAGAATTGCCAAGGTCGTGACTCACCATCCATTTGTTGCTATCAACAGTAAGTGCACACATATCCATTCAGTGCATGTTAATATTGCATTCGTAGTATTTGCCCTTTCATGGGAGAAGTGTCCTTGCTTTCTCCAGAAATGGGGATTGCTCTCTGTGATCCTTGGGATAAGGGGAGCTCTTTACACAGTTGCCCACGTTCCCCTCGGCTGCTGTTCAGCAAACCCTGTGGTGACCGTGGTGCCTTCTGCCCTTCACATCCATCTTTGTGCACTGAGTTGTTACGTCTCCAAGGCCATGAAGGCTTTTGTGGTAAGGTGATACGGTGGATTTGGATGGGGCTTTATGGGCATAGGACAGTACCTAGGAACTGGTTTTGTTTTTCTTCTTTAGTGACAAAGATAATTTGCTTTCAGCGATGTTAAAAGACTGTATAAAAACCTGTTGGGTTTGTAGATCTGCTCTTCAAAGAGGTTTTCATGCCCTCTTTGCAGTGAAGAGCAGACTTTTGGTGGTGGTTTGTTTTAGTTAAGCCTGAATTCTGCTGATGAGCTCTCATTTGAAACTGAAAGGGGCAGACTGTACCTTAAACTAATGGCAGCTCTATTTTCTTTGTCTATGAAATTTTGAAATATCATTCATAAAATGCGGTTGCATTGGCAAGCTGCACAAATATTTCAAATTTAAAGTCAGGTAGTTATTTACTTATTCAACACGTCTGATAAAAATGCAAGGGCATTAGAGAATATCTCAGTCTGTAGCGGATCTGTCTGCCAAGTTTCTTCAGGAAATATTTAAACCTTGATTGCTGCCAGTTAAAATCACAGATGTGAGAGTTATTGTGGCATCGGTTAAATACGGGAGCCGCGTGTATCTTTTCTCTGTCTGGTGGGAAGAAGTGTTCAGAAATAAACCTGAGATTGAGAAGGAGACTGATACTGTTTGCGCCTTAGCTTGGCTTAGCTGAAGCAGAGGAGAGGCCGTTAGCGCTCTGCTTGTGCTGCTGAAGGTTGTTTGTGCAGGAACCTTGAGGTATATGCAGAGATTCCAAGAGCTCAGAAGACCAGAGGACAACTAAACAGCACATATGATGCCTAAGGCCACTGATATTGGTAGCTCTGAGCTCTTGGCTTCTGCAGAAACATGCAGTGGGAAGAACAAGGGTTTTTGGTGGAGGGCAATAAGTGTGAAGTCTAAGTGCAGGTGAGGCATCTTTTGCCCTCGCCATGAAGCAGTCCGGTGCAGCAGCGTCATTTCTGCTGTGGTTGAGAATCGGTTGGTGTCACCGCTCTCGCCGCGGTGACGCGGGGCGGCTGAGCGGCGGGAGGCCGCGGTGGGAGCAGCCGCTGCCCCGAGCCGCGCGGCACCTCTGGCAGCGCGCGGGAAGCGGGCGCCTGCTGGGGAGGGTGACGGGAGGCAGGCAGTGTTGATCCTGCTCCCTTTCTCCCGTCTCCAAGCAAGGAGCAAGTTGTCAAGCACGGGGCCTGAGTGGTTTGGAGCTTTAGCTGGAAACGTTTTGCTTACGCTCGGGTAAATGAGATGTGCAGATACCTCAGGAAAGCTGGAAGTCGTCCTGTTTGTAAGATATTTTGCATAGGAGAAATGCAATCTAGAGTGCTCCTTCCATGCATCCATCTTTGTCTCTCCTTTTCTTTTCTGTAAACCTCAGCCTTATTTCTGTCTGCACTGCCCTTTTCTAAAGAGAAGTTGCCAAACTCCATTTACTGAAAGCCACAGTTTTCCTGAGACAAAGACGTACAGATAGAGAGTTTCCACATTTCCCCCACTTCCAGAGGAGTCAGGACAGGCTTGAAGATCCATTTACAGTAGCTGTTGAAATAAATACGTACTTCCAGACACACAGTAAATACAGGCTTAGCTGTTGTACAGGCGAGTCTAGGATAGCTGGGCCCTGTGATTAAACACGTTGTGGTGGGGGAGCCCTATGAAGCAATGAGGATCCTGTGCAAAGGCCTAGCAAGGCGGGCAAGGGGAGGGCAGCTGCTGCGCGGGCCGCTCCGCAATGAGGCCTCGGCCTCCCAAGGCGCGTCTTGAAACAGCTCTAAAGTGTCAGTTCTTTCTTATTTACCTTCTGGTTTCTATGCAGCTTCCCTTTCAAGCCGCGCTCCAGCGGCGAGGGCTGGTTCAAAATGAAATTCCTGCCGGTCTGCTCCAGCGGGATCTTCCCTGGTTTTAAAAATGCTGCATACTAAGGCTCAGAATTAAAATTTTCTATCATTCACCACATTGAAATTTCTTGAAAGTATTCCGAGTTTCACCTCCGGTTGCAACTGTTAGTTATTCTCATAGACTATTTTAATATGGTGCATTTTTCCTGCCTGTCTAGTTCAGACGAATGTAGTATATTAATTTGTGAAACAAAATCTGGGAGGTTTCAGCTCTCTGCTGATAGACTCTTCCATGGTGGGGTTGGACTTCTCAGGTGACTATTAATCCTAGATTTAGCACTGTGCTGTGCCTCTCGTGGTGACTCTGGGCTTTTAAAACCCTTTTTTCACTTCCAGCTAGCGTAGCGTATAAGCTCCTTGGAGCGGGAGCTGCATGCAGTTCTGCAGTGCCACGTAAATCTGAGAAAATCTTTTTGGCCTGTAGCTTTTATCGTAAGTAAGTAATACTGCAGAGCACTTTTATTTAGTGGTTTCTATGGTTTTCTTGAAGAGTTAAGTACCTTGAATAAGCATGTGAGCCTTTCTGAGGGAACATTTCCTTCCCCCAACAAAAAGAGCTGGGAATGGAAAAGTTAGGGGAGAAATCAGAAAACCTCAGGAACGTTTTTTTGCTTGGAATGTATAATGAAACTCTCCACAGAGCTCTGAGCACTGTGCTCCAGTGGATGCCTTCAAATTGCTTTCTGTATAAGCTAACATTACGCTGCTAAGTAGTGTTGCTAATTTAAAAGCACTGAAGCTCGCCGTTTCTCTTTAAGCATTATTTCTTAGCATCGTGCTTGGCAATACCAAATAGCATAGGTATGCAAATACATGAGCCACTGATGGTTTTAAAAATGTTTCATGAAAAGCCTGATTTCTTCGAATCCACATAAGAACCTGATGTTGCAGTGAAGGTGTCAGTTTTACTTGACAGGTAAAAAAAATATGGATGTTTTGTTTGTAACTTCAAAATTCTTGTGTTTGGACAAGAAAATACTTTCTTGTGCAAAATGTGAGCATCTTCCCATGCAGTGTAAATCAGCTGTCGATGCTACCTGTGTGTGTGTGTGTGTGTATATATGTATGTTGTTATTCACAACTAATATATTCTCAATGGTCTCTGCAATGAATCCAGATTGAGACTGAGTTTTTAAACCAACAGTCTCAGGCGCTAAGGTTGTTCTCTTCTTCTCTTTTTCCTGCAGTACTTGGGCCATGTTGAAGTGGATGAATCGAGAGGAATGCATATCTGTGAAGAGGCCGTGAAGAGACTCAAATCTGTATGTATATCTGTTCCACGAAAACGAAGTTGGCTTTGGGGCTGCCAGTGTCCCTCCCCAAGGCCCGTTTGGCAGCAGCATTCCCGATAAAGCCTGAACCTTCGACCCACGTTAGCGGAGCAGTTGGCGCTGTGAGCGCTGCTGTCGCAGGGGGCCGTGCTGAGCTGCCCATGAGAGGGAGAGAGTTACAACTGCTCTTTCCACTTGCAGAAACTATTTGCAAAACAAATGTGTAAAAATCCTCTGTGACCTTTCAGACTAAGTTGGTACCCATATGGGCCCTCAACTGTTGTTTTTTAACAGTTCTTTCTCTCTCTCTCCCCCTCTCTCTTTCTTTTTCTCCCTCTGTTGCCTGCCACTTTAATAGTGACTTAATTCACCTTTATTAGAGAAAGCGTTACTTGATTATGACTTGATTTAAACTGCTTTTCTTCTAATGCACTGCAGCATTGTCTTCATGCATGAAATAATCCAGCTTGCATCTGCTCCAAGTGGCCCGGAGGCTGCCTAATTCTGACGTGTCACGAAGCGGGCTGCTCTTAGTTTGGCTTCTGTGAACGTTTGTTCCTGCAAATGGCACTTGTTCCAAATTCTTTGTGCTTCTCCAACTCACTTGAAGAGGCCTTGTCATCTCTTTCCTCTAGTATTATTATGGCAAAGTCCTGCGGAAATAGCAAATGCTAAACAGCCAGTGGTCAATCTGTCGAGGAACTGAGACTAAAACAGCCTTGAAGAGAACAGAAGGAAAAAGGACATTAAAATGTGCAGGCTGAAGGGTGATGCAGCACTGCAATCCTTTTCATCACTTCTCTTATTTGTCTTGGCTCTGTACCTTTTTTTTTTTTTTTTTTTTTTTTTTTTTTTTAAGCAGAAGAAACTCTCGTATCCTTGTAGCTCAGCAAAATTACTGTAAAGTAAATCAAACACTTTTCCTGCCTCTTTGCTAACTTAAGATATCTCCTACTGGACTCTCTTTTTTTCCTCACCAAACGTGACAGCTCGAATGGTTTCCAACAGAACCCTTTGTCTTTCCTTCTTCCCAGCACACAATAGAGGATTATAGGTTATCTTTTCTTCCTCCTGTTGTGCTGTAAAGTTTCTGAATTGGTTTACTGCTCTGATTAAAATCAAGTCTTTTCATTCTTTTCTCTCTCGGCCAATGTATAGCAACCTGTTAAGGCTACATCCCATCTGTTCCTATTCAATCCAATAGTGGTTGGTGATTAATTTTGTTTAAAAGGGCCACAAAAATATAAATGAGTTTCTTTGTTCTATGGATTTAGTTGATATAGCTAAAATTGCAAGTACTGGCCACATAATGAATGGCATCCATTTTTTGTCTCATTCTGTTCTGCTTTTTGTTGTATTAGAATATTTTCTCTTAGCACACTGAATAGTGTGGCACTCTCTGCCTTGTGTAATTTCTCTCATTCTCTTTTCTGGGGAGCTAAACTGTGAACTATTTGTTCTCTGATTTTTTATAAACTTTAAGTGCACCAGCCATGTAAATGTAGCTAAATTTATAAAAAATGAGCCACAGTTAACGTTTAACACACAGTTTCTTTTGGAACCTGGATGGCTCCAGCATTGTGATTCTGAATCAACTGAATTACTTGTTTATACATCACATATCTACCTTTTAGTTTAGATTATGCTTCTACACTGTGCCTCTGCTTTCTTTGCATAGAGAAATGAAATTATTTCATTTCTCTATTCTGTATTCCATGATTATGCCAAAGCGTGGATGGCAACAACTGACCAAGTCCCATTGATTCCTTCAGATGTTTGAAGTTTTGAATGTTTGTAAACAAACTGGACACGAGCACATCTCTCTGTGTCTAAGTTTTGGAGGTAGAGGAGCAGATGTGAACTTCTCTTAGTAGAAGGCTCAGATTGCTGAGATGACTTTGTTCATTTTAGTGGCGAGACTCCATCAGATCCAAGGTTCATTCAGAGCTGCTCACTGCAATTCAACCTCCTCTTCTCCCCTCTAGCACCAGGTTTTACCTTTGGGGACATTTCTTTGGCGCTTAGGCACTGTTAGGACTCTAGCTCCCTACTTTTCTGTACTCTCTTCTCTTAAGCAGCCAAGCCATGCTACTAGGTGACATTTCAGCATGCAAGGAATGTAATAAGGCTCCATTTTGTTCCTTAGGTAGCCTCTTGCTTTTGCAGTGCTTGGTTATTTTGACCTCCTTTCTCTTGGCCTTGCCAAAATTGCAAGTTGAGCTGCAGCCCTTAAACTAGGTTAAGGGAAGTTGGAATTCATTTTTAGGTGGTTAAAGTACATCCAAATGTACATGGCCTACTCTGATCTTCATCATTCTTTTGCAAAGATTTTATAAATCCAGTCAACAGAATAATAGTTCTTTACTCCTAAAGACAGGATTGTTGATATACTTGGGTCTTGTAGCTTCTAAATATTAAGTCCTTTCTGGCCTTTACCTGTTTTAATAGATTCTTTAATAGATGTATTTTCTCTAATTCTTGTTCTCCAATGCAGTAGTGGGCATTTCAAATCTGTTCTTTTATTATATTTATTTATTTATTTAGGATGCACTGATAGATTTTGATCCTTTTCAAGGGCTTTACCAAGAAATTTATAAAACAGTATTAATATTGTTAGGAAGCAAACAAATCTTTCCATGTCCTTTAGCATGGGAAATATCTTTCCCATTTTTTTTTTTTTATTACAAGCTGTTATGAAGTGGCACAATTGTCTTTTGAGCAAGACAAGCTCTGCAAGTTGCAAAGCTTAAATTCAGTTGGTGGTAAGCATTTTGTTCTGGGAGGGTTTAATTGATAACTGACTATACAAGTTCATTTTTAGCTAAAGAATCCTCATTCATGATTTATTTTGTGTTCCTTTTCACACGTACAGTACAGCATTAATAGGTCAGAAACCTCTGTATTCAGCTGTCAGCCTCTATTATTAACATCTAGGTTTATTCTTGACGAATATAGTTTGCAATTTTCCCTTCATAAGATATCTTAATTGTATGTACATTTTAGATCTGATACGCTTGGACACTAAGCAGCTTTTTCTCCAAAACTATTTAACTGAATTAAAAACATATAGTGCAGACTGCAACTTATCTTTGTAAGGGCCTTGTAATGTAGCCTTGTGAATACATTTGATTAGCTACTGGGCAATAGTATAAAGACAAAAGTTCGCTCTCACATGTCATGTTTTGATTTTAAATCTGCTTTAGTATGTAGTATTGGTTTCTAACTTGCCATTTTTTGTTTTAAGTGATGCATTTGTTTTAATATATGTTCTTGTTTTAGCAGGTAAAGAAACATAATTTAATATTTTAAAACACTCATTAGTTATTTCTAAACTACATTAACGTAGCGTTGTTTAAAAATCCATTTTGCATGATATCTTTTCCATTAACCTTTTCTGGTTTATTAAAAAAAATAATCTTGTTTAACAAGCATTTTGCTGAGAGCAAAATTAACCATCATCTAAAAATGAGGGATCTTCTGGTGAATCTCTTTAGCTTGTGCTATCTTTAAAAAGCTTTTATTTAGCGTAATGCAGTAGTCATTGCTCAACTTGGCAGCAGCACCCAGCCCCTTCTCATTATGTACACGACACTGTGATTAATCCATTAGTTCCCCTTCTAGTACTCAGTGCATCCTGTCCAAATATATGACCATTCTTGCTTCTAAATGTCTTTAATCCTTTCAGCTGACTAAAGTTAGAGATGGTCTTAAACAGTGTGTGGCCTAATACAAGTATGCTATACTATACTTTTAAAAACACTCTGTGGGAAGGCATTGGGCAGAGAGAGAGAGCAACAAAAGCCAGGAAATGCAGAGTTCAGAGTGACACTCCCCTCCTAACTTTGGGTTTCCTGGCTCTGGGTGGCTTGTGACAGAAGCGTAGCTTGGTTTTAACTATGTCCTTGTTCCAGCCACTTCTTGAGATGCACTCTTGGATTATTTGTAACACTATTTTTAATACGTTTTCATTTAATAGTGATCATCATGACAGAATTTCATGCTGATCCTTTGGTGTTAGGAAGCCCCCTCTGCCCCGTGGAATTCCCGAGTTGTGCTTTGCTTCTGCGGTTAGTGTCGTATGGGGTGTCCTCCCATATGGAAAGATCCAGCAGCAGCAATAGGGTTCCCAGCTCCCTTCCCTCAGCCCTGAGCAGCTTCTGGCTACGCACGGAGAACACCCTGCCATGAGACCTCGCCTCTGAGATCAGTTCAGACAGACCTTGCAGTTTTCTGTCTGCAGTCTGGTAACAAAATGAAGGTGGTTAGTTGAACTGCATGCAAATGCACTTAAGATTGCGTTGCCTTTTTCTTTTTTTTTTTTTTTTTCTCTCTTTTAATGTGAATTTGCGCAATCAGAATAATCATTTCCAGCCTGGAGAGATGTAGGGAATTCCAGTTCATTTCTGTGTGTTGGCTTAGCTTCTGCTCCCGAGAGCTGACTTTAAAGAGATCTTGTTCTACCTATAAATCGAGAGCAGTGCAGTGAATACCTAGTGTTTGTATCAAGATGCAGTCTTGAAAAGGCCTGAAGGAGAATGAAAGAGGAAGGGGTCTTGTTTGTGTCTTGGGTATATCACTTTCATGATAAGAAATTCCTCGCTCTTCAGAGAAGACTGTAAGATGCTAAGTGTAAGAGTAGCTTGCAAACAAAAACCCAATAACAAAATGCAATGAAGGGAAGCCCAAAAATGCTTTTTCAGTGCTTAATCTTATATTATGCCAGTAATCATAGATGCTGCTTCAGCTTACAAGGCTTTTGTTCTGGCAAAGTCTGATCTATGCAAAGCAAACTTAACTGCGATCCAAGAGTTAAACTTTGCCTTTCACAGGGGCTGCCACAGTACAGTGTTTTAACTGTTTAACCATCACGTCTGCTGCCAAGTTTGGTTTATAACTTAACTAAAGAGGACTAAACAAGTGAGAGTGAAAACAAAGTAACCGCTTTGCATGAAATTGGGGCTGAGGTTCTCTTCTTTCCACCAATTTCAGAGCAGTTTGCCTATTAGAATTCTATGTGTGCCCTCTTCTCTGCACTTTCATGGGATTATTTTCACATTTGCCTGTCGCACCTTCTTTTGGATAACTCTAAACACCCCTTCCTTTCCCTCCAAACCCTATTCTTGTGTGTGCTTGTTGGTTTGAAACCCTGGGACATTTTAGCTACCTACAGTAATAGCGCTCGACTTGTCCCCCCTGTTCCTCCAGGAAAGGAAGTTCTTCAAAGGCTTCTTTGGAAAAGTAAGTTTAATGCCTCATTTGCGCTTGCACTATAAGGAGTTACATCCCTGGTATAGCACTGCCATAAGACCCAACTATTGAGAATCCCTTAATCCATTGGAAATACGTTGAGCAAGTAGAGAATATGGTTAAAAGAGCAAACTGAAACAGAAATCACGAAACCATATGGGCCGTATCAGAAAACAGTGTTTGGAAATTATTTGTTCTCCCTGAAAAAAGTGGGAATTTCCTTTTCCGTCCCCTGAACTTGTGCTGGCCAAGGTGACCCAGGCAAATGCGGGCGGAGCGGAGGGATCCGTATCCTGCCCAGCCGGCTGCTCCCAAACGTTAGAGCAGGAAGAAAACGTGGGGCTGGTGCCTGCAGCCTCCTCCGCCTCCCTTTCTTGAGCACAGCCCTGCTCAGAGCTGTGTGAGACCAGGCATCCACAGCCTGCTTGTTCTTCTGATTGCTTCCCAGCTGTAGAGCTGGAAAACTGCTTCTTCCAGCATCTCCTGCTGCTTCCACAAGGCTGCTTAGGTGGGAGTCGGTCTCCTCCTGTGACTGCAAGGGGAGCAGCTCCATGCGCACCGTGAAAGTGCCGTCGTGGAGACTGGCGTTGTGTTACTGCTGTCCCCAAGCCTCTGGGGCCATGTGTGTAAGGCACCAAATGAGCTCTCCTTTTACCCATCAGCCGGCCCTTGTCCCGACTTTGGGGTCTGAAAAGATCTTTTTTTATTATTTTGTTTTATTTTTTTACTTAGTTTTCAAGTGGAATAAATCTAAGGATCCGCTTTTGAAATATCTTGTTCTAAACATAATCTTGGCTTAAGTAGAAACTAAGAGGTTTAGAACTCTTTTAAGAGGCTAAAATGGCTAACAAGCTTTTTTTTTTAATATATTTTATTTGCTGCTCACATATGGAAAGCTTTTGAAGCAGATTATTTTCCGGTCACAGATTTGTTTTGGCTTTGCTGGGGAGTGAGTGAAGTTTTTCAGCTGCTCCTTTCTCGCCTTCGGAGATCTGAGATTGCAGAGCAGGTCGTGGAGGAGAGAGCACTTCCCCAGGCCAGGCTTCTTCCTGGGATCTGGGAAAACGCATGACTATGAGTGGCATGAACAGCGTCAGGGAAAACTCTAAACTTTTTAAGATCAAAATACTTAAAAATCTGTCTTCAACATTTTTTTTCTGGAGTTATCTAGTGAGTGTGCCAACTTGCCTGTTATATCTTAGTTTGTTTTGGTTTTTGTTTGCTTGTTTTAAGACCATGAGTTTTCCACTGCATGTAAATTGCTTTGCCTTTTGTTGTAACACCTTGTCCAAAAGGGCCTCGCTTCTGCTTGAGCCTCTGAGGCTGCATTTGTTAGCACTGGAGCCCCTTAAATGCAGTGTTCAGGTATCCTCAAAAGCTCATAGTGCCTTTATTGCAGCTTGCAATAGTGAGGAAGACTTAGCAGTTTTATCCTTCTCCTTTTGGCTATCTGATCTGTAATTTCTCCACAAATGCCTTGCATTGGAATTAATATACGCAGCATAGCTTAAATTTGCTACGAGCTTTTAAAAAGCCCATCACAGCAGGTTGGTTTCTTTCAGTGTCTGTCTTTCCCCCACAAAAGATAAATATGATTTGTGTCAGGAAGCATTTGTGTGTTTAATCAGGTACCTGACATTGAAAACACTTCCTCTTCAACTTTAAATAAAAATATTATGTCCTTTGGTAGCCACAGATTAAGTTTAGGCAGTTTAGTTTTGTGGAGCCTCCAAAACATGACTAGATCAACTGCATTTTTAGGCAGCTCTTGATAATTTAAAGCTTTTTTTGTTGCTGTAATTAATGGGAGTGCAGATGTGGTGACCTTCTGTGTGTTTATTCCCTCCGAGCACAGGGGTTTCTCTGCACGCGATGCTTTATACAGGGACTGCAATAAGGCATTTGTGTTTTACCTGCATCAGGCTACATGTACACATTCCAGCTGTTTTTCATCCCAAGATGGAATGAAATAGGTAGATACTGAGAAGTTTGCAATCACTAGAAAGAGCAGGAACAATTCAAAGCTGTGCGGCGAGTGAAGCGCTCCAGGCCGGCTCTGTTTCCATCTCCTTTCACCTCTTTTCCACCTCCCCAGGCCATTGCTCAGGCTCCCTCCTGCCCAGCCCCAGCTCCTGCTGCCTTTTTGGGACTCCCAGGGAGCTGTGAGGGCTTGGGGTGCCCCAGAAAATGAGGGAAAAGAGCCGATTTCTGTAGCGGGGCCCGCTTACGTGCTGCTGTGAAGGGAGGCAGCTCCTACTGCCCACTCAGCGGTGGCACGAGGGGCTCAGCACCGTGAGTGACTCTGCTGTCCCAGGGCTTGGGGTTCTGCAGGGAAGCAGGGAGTCCGCTTCCCATGCGGAATCGGTCCTTTGTCCCGTCCCTGTCACGAGTGAAAACACTTGTATCTGCTTTTAATCAGGATATGCTTGGCCATATCCCTCCTGTAACAGAGCAGCACTTTGATTCTGTAACTGATACGAAGCGGTGCCAGGAAGGATGGATGTGCCTGTGCGCGGCAGCACGACGGGAAGCCTGTGGCTCGGCAGGGGCAAGAGGCAGCGATGGCTGCAGCTGGGAGGCGCAGGCTGCACGGAGGTCCTGCCCCAGGCTTGGCATCCACCGGCCGAGGAGATGCCCTGGGAAAGAAAGGCCAGTTCTGTTCTCCCCTCGGGCTGAAAACGTGGCGCGGGAGCCTGGCAGTCGGAGCCGAACGGGAGAGCAGGACCGCGTCGGCTGCGCTGGCCCTGGCTCTTGGGCTGCCCCAGCTCCTGAGCCCCGTGCTGAGCTCGGCCCTGCCCGTCTGACAGGGAATCCGGGAAGCGCCTGCGGCTCCGGGCATCGCAACAAGGATGTTGCTGTTCGCTGGCGAGCCCCGTTTCTCTGAGAGAGGTTGTTTGCTCTGCTTTTAGAGTGTCGGGGCACTGTAAACCCCAGCAGTTCCCCCCAGACCTTCTCTTTTTCTGAATGTTCGTATTTACTGGAAATAAAGATGTTTAGACTATGAATGATTTATAAGAAACAGCTACTCCTTTTTAAAACCATTAAGGAGGCAAAGCATCTGTCGTGTTGTTGGGATTAGTGGGGACGTTTAAGCCCTGCGAGCTGGATGAGCACTGAAAGGACAGACGGGTGCTCTGTGCCCATTGACACATGCTGCCTTTAAAGACCAAAAGTTAGAAGGGACTTCTAATGGACGTGGGATTTTTAGTGTGGCGACTGTAGACACATCTTCCTTTGGGAGTAACACTCGTTTCAGTAAGGCTTCCAAAATCTATCGGTCTTCCTTTAGACCTTCCCGGGACAGTCGGCAGGTTGGACGCTTGGAAACTTGCTCCCTCTCTGGGGCCTGCTTTCCTGCTGTGCTCATCTCCTCGCTTTTGATCGCTCTTCTGCACAGCTCAGCGCCGCGCTCCCTTCTCACCCGCCTTCCCATGAATGCGCTGGTTGGCACTGCCACCCAGCAATGGGGACAGATAGCTTCCCTCCCTCCTTTCTTTCCCCAAATCAGACAAAAGTCCTGCCAGGCTGGTTTTCTTCACACTTTCTGCTTCCTCTGATAGTGAAACCAATGTGATACAACAGGAGACTTAGCACTGTCAGATAGAAAAAAGAGAGGAAAAAAAAAAAGAAAAAAAAAGCAGACTCAGAAAATTGAAATTGGTGTTGTGAGCATGGAGCATGCAGTAGCTGATATCAGAATGTGCCTCTGCTCCATTACTTGCCCTATGGATAGACATTATAAATATCTGCAATGAGTTTATTTAAAAAAATGCAGTTCCTGCACAAAGCTGCTGTTACCGCCCTTTTTTATTTGCTGCTCTCTTCCTGCCATGGGCCCTGGCAGATGCCATTAGCAGCCACACACCAGGTTGACTTGGTGCACGGACAAATATTGGGGAAGAACAGTGTGTTTCCTGGCTCAGAGGTGAAACAGTAGGGCAGGGGAGTTGTTAATCACAGCAAAGCATTAGAAAAGAGTGGGGATTTGTTTCTAGAAGTAGTTCTGTGCAACAAGCAATAAAACTACGTGGATATGTCCTATCCATTTTCTGCCCCATGAATTTGTTTCCAAAGCAAGTTGTCTCACATGTTTATACTGTGTTTTGCAACTTTCCCTTAAACAGTAAACAGTCCAGAAGAGAACCCTCAGCCTGAGCGGCTCTTGAAGCCTTTCACTGTTTTCCGCTTTTGCTCTTAGTCCCAGCTTGTGGCAGCTGAAAGTTCCCACAGTCGGAGCTTGGAAAATAGCCAGGAAGCTTCCCTGCTTCTTCAGCCTGCTGCACACAACTGGGTTTTAAAGTTACACATCAGATGAATAATAAGCTACAATTTTCCATCGCTCTTGAAATTCATGGCACGTTCAGCTCTTAGTAAATTTGAGCTTGGATGATTGGTCCTAGCATTACTTCTGTAACCCAATAATTGATAATTTTGGGGTGTTTTTAACACGGTTTAAGGGGATGCCGTGATTCTGCCATGCGGCTATGGGGGCAGAGGGTAGGGCTGATGGAGATACCAGGTAAGAATATTCCCTGTTTAAAACCTGTGCTCCAGAAGCTACCTGTGGTGTAACTCCTTATGAATTAGTGTTACCTGACTCTCTTCAGCGGAACTCCTCACCCACTTGGTCAGTCTTGAATTCTGTCCTTTGGATGAGTGTGAATAAACCCTGGTTTTGGCCCCAGCTGCGTGTGCCTTCTCCCCAACCCGTTACCAAGTGTTCTTTCTGAAATCCTGCCTTGGGCTCTGTTCTCTGAATGTTTGGCACCGCGGATGGAGCATCTGGCTTTGGGCACCTTCCTGAGCGTGGACTCCATCTCCACTTAATGCTGTGCTTCTTGGAAAGGGGAGACGGGTGGCAGCCTGACCCCGCTGGCATAAAGCTGGTTTCTCTTTTTTTTCTCTTTTTCTTTTCTGAAAGACTGGAAAGAAGGCGGTTAAAGCCGTGCTGTGGGTTTCGGCGGATGGACTCCGAGTGGTAGATGAGAAAACAAAGGTTAGATTTCCTTTTACAACAATCCTATATCTCTGTGTAATAACATATGTGCTATGACTGTAAATGAACACTAATCTCTACCTTAACACGATCATATTTTAAAGAAAGATAAAAGTATATAGGCAATTTTATCATTTCTCGCTCAGTAAACATATACATGCCTGTTAATTTTTTTCACAGCCAATTCCCTAGTGTTGTCAAGGCACGTTTGATAAAGACGTGGCAGGGAGGGTGAGCTGGGAATCACGGCTCTGCTGCGTCTGCTGGAGGAATCCTCTTTTCTGGATGACTTCTGGCATGAACACGCAGGGTCCTGATTTCCTTCCCTACCCCTGAGGAAGGCTGCAGAAGTGGCACCTGAGCAAATCAGTGCTACACAACATGATCTTCCTTGTATCTGTGTTCTAGAAGAGTGAGCTCGAGTGAAGAACTGGCTTCCACAAATGCAATAAGGAGAATAAATTAAATAGGATTGTGCCTCCACTAAACAGCTTAAACTCCCTTCAGTCTCGAGATAAGTAGTAACTGGGTTATAGAATTATCACATTCTATAATAATTTGTAGCAATAATACCTCAACTATTGGTCTGAAGTGGCAAACTAATATATTCATTGCCTCTTTCTAAACTGTGTTTTACATATTTTATTATGAAATAACCCAGCGTGTAGCACAAAGGGGCCTGTGCATGAGTAATAGTAAATCATTCTTGATTTTAATTACATGTAGGCAATGGGGAGTAGTAGCTTTAGGCTTGCCCTGTGAGCTTACTAGTATTTTACATGGTGACACACGGCTATCAGAACAATTTTTTCCCTTGCTAGTCTGAAATGGATTGATTTTATATTCCCCCTCCTCTTTGATTTTATATGCCCCCTCCTCTTTGGCCCCGGGGCAGTCTCTGTTCCGAGCTCCTTGGGCAGGTAGCTGTAGTCAGGCCCAGTTTGCATCTCCTTGGTAAAACTCGTCTTGCGGTTGTTGCTGGAAATGGCTTCTGTAAGTGTTTCTCCACACCTCTTCATATCTCTTTTATCATGGGGGGGGATTTTGTTTTCCTCTAGGACCTTATAGTTGATCAGACAATAGAGAAGGTTTCTTTCTGTGCACCAGACAGAAACTTCGACAGGGCCTTCTCCTATATCTGCCGGGATGGCACCACGAGGCGCTGGATCTGCCACTGCTTCATGGCCGTGAAGGACACGGTGAGTGTAATGTAGCGGCTGTCCTGCTCTTCCCGCTCCGGGATGGGAGTTGCACCTGGGAGGGTTAACTGCAGAGCATGGCGATGAGTTCTGACTGCAGACAGAATGTTACTTGGGCCTTGAAAAATACTGTGCTTGTAATTCCTTGTATCGGAATTCTTTGCCATCCCTCTGGGCCGTCGCCTTGCAGAGAGAATTGGTGCATGGCGTGTAAATGGAGGGCAGTCTGCTCGCTTATCTGTAGCAGAAGGGACCTGCTCTCCTAAAAACAGGCAGAAGATACTCCCGTCTGAAAATGCATACAGCCCAAAGCTGAAACAGCAGCCACTGTTCTTCCAGGATAAAAATCAGAGTGAGTAAGTAGACTTAAAAATGCAGCCTGTTGTATGCTAGTGTTATCACAAAGGGAAAGCCTTTTGAATGCAAAGGGATGGAGCTCAAGTGAGTTGAACTGAGATCCTGTTTAGTTCTCAGTGGCAAGGGAGCTTTTGCCAGGGGAAGGTTTGAAAGCAGGTTACTTTGTTCACTCGCTTGCTGTGGAGCTCCCTGATCTGCTCCTCTCTCAAGTCTCACCTAAGTACTCCTTGTATTGAGCAGTGCAGAAAACTATTCTGAACAGGCAGATTCAGGGAGTAAACCCGGCATAGCTGCGTGTTCAGGGCAAGTATCTTTGACAGTTTATGATTTCTCTTCAAAGAGAAATGGTGAAGTTGCAACTTCCCAGTCAGTTACCAACCACAGCGGATGAGTTTGGACCCCAGCCCGACTGCAGCCTCCGTATCAGCCGCGCTTCCAGACATCCTCCAGCTTCAATTTCATTTCCTTATGGCAGTTATAGGACAGTGGATCCTTTTGGCCTTGCTGATTAATAGCAGTGCATTTGGGAAGGCCGAGAAGCCTTTTGTGCACAGCTGCAGGAGACCTGGGTCATGGGCATCCCTTATCTCCCTTTTGGGGACCGATGGGTCTTCCATTTTCTGAATAGGAAACAGAAAAACCAGCAGAAGTGACGTGTGCTATACACCCTGTTATTACATCTATCAATATAGTATTTATTTTTACATGTGAAAGGACACTGTTGCTCTCGGGGATTTTTGTTGCTAAGTGAGTCAGGGTTGATCTGAGACCCATTTTAAAGCCTAATTTAAGAACACATTTAAGGGAGCATATGCTTCTCAGAAGGGCCCTCTTAGTGCTTGTTTGCGCACTTAGTGAGGGCCATTAGAGGTACAAGCAGTCATAGCCATGCTCTTCACGTTCACGTCTGCACCCAGCAGCAGTGCTGCCCCGAGCCCTCTGTAAACTTCCTCCATGTATGAGAAGAGCTCATACAGAGCTCAGAACCTGGCCCTGCATAAATGGCTTCACGGGAGTCCCTTTGTGTGTAGGAATACGCAAAGGCAGAGGGCCAGGCGGACATGTTAGCGAGGGCCGGGCGGACATGTTAACACGCGGGCAGACATGTTAGCGCGCTGGCGGACATGTTAGTGAGGGCCGGGCAGACATGTTAGCGTGTGGGCGAACATGTTACTGTGGGCCGGGCAGACATGTTAGTGCGCTGGTGGACATGTTAGCGTGGGATGGGCAGACATGTTAGTGCGTGGGCAGACATGTTAGCGTGGGCCGGGCAGACATGTTAGTGTGTGGGCAGACATGTTAGCGTGGACCGGGCGGACATGTTAGCGTGCTGGTGGACATGTTAGCATGGGAAGGGCAGACATGTTAGCGCGCAAGCAGACATGTTAGCATGGGCCAGGCGGACATGTTAGCGTGTGGGCAGACATGTTAGCGTGGGCCAGGCGGACACGTTAGCATCGGACGGGCAGACATGTTAGTGCGTGGGCAGACATGTTAGTGTGGGACGGGCAGACATGTTAGCGTGTGGGCAGACATGTTAGTTTGGGACGGGCAGGCATGTTAGCGTGTGGGCAGACATGTTAGTGTGGGACGGGTGGACATGTTAGCGTGTGGGCAGACATGTTAGTGTGGGACGGGCGGACATGTTAGCACGTGGGCGGACATGTTAGTGTGGGATGGGTGGACATGTTAGCGTGCAGGCGGACATGTTAGCGTGGGATGGGCAGACATGTTAGCGAGGGCCGGGTGGGCATGTTAGCACGCGAGTGGACATGTTAGCAGATGAGAGCCAGGTGGGCTATCCGCCCGTGCCGCTCATTCTGGGGGGGCCGTGGCGTGTGCTCCTGGCGGGCGGGCGGCCGCGAGCCCGTGTGCGGCGCTGCAAGCGGGGCCTGGGCTGAGTGTGCGGGTGTCTCACGCAGGGGGAGCGCCTGAGCCACGCCGTGGGTTGCGCCTTCGCCGCCTGCCTCGAGCGCAAGCAGAAGCGCGAGAAGGAGTGCGGTGTCACGGCCACCTTCGATGCCAGCAGGACCACGTTCACCAGAGAGGGCTCCTTCCGCGTCGCCACCGCCACCGAGCAGGCCGAGCGCGAGGAGGTGCTGAGGCAGCTGCCGGACACAAAAGGTACCAGGGGCAGCGGCCACTCGATGCTTGAGCTGGCGAAACACGGCCTGTCCGAGAGTAAAGCCCAACTTCCTTCCAGAGCTTCCCCTCCATAACCTCCCTGGGTGCAAATTGCATTCCCAAACATGTCATTTCACACGGTGGAAACCCCTAGATTCGCTCCCAGGGCATTCTCCCACATTTCCTCTGGGAAAAGTATGAGTGGCCTCATAGGCAACAGGACAGAGCTGCTCCTGCTCTGTTCTACCAGCCTGCCCTCTGGCAGAGACCATGGTAAGGGCCATGGCCCTGCTAGAAAGGCAGTACAGAAATATTATAACAGGAGTTCGCCAGACTCAAAGTGGTTTTTTTGTGTGTATATTCTAAAGCCCGTGGTAAACGACCAGAAAGCGGTATACATTTTTTCTTAACAGAAACTGCAATGTAGTTTTATTTCAATTTCAAGGCCAGCTACAAAGTTTATTTTTAGTATTACACTGCATGAGGGAAGAACAGGTCAATCGGAGTGCCTTCCATAAAAACCAGTAGGGAACTCAGTGGTGCACGCTCTGTTAAATTTGGAAATAATACCTGGTTGATTGAAAGGCTTTAGTTCTACTTCATAACCATTTAAAATGCAAAGTGTTCTCAAATATATGTCAGAATAGAAGGGCTTCTTGCCCAAGTGTTACTATGGATGGTAGAGTATTTAAGACTGCCACAATATACTTATAATAAATATGGCCTGTAGCTCATCTTATAGATGGAAGTCAAGTGCTTTGGAGGCTTCCACAGCAATTTTTATGCCATCACTGTATTGCAAAACTTTAATCTTCATTTTCATCATGCATCCGCTTGCGTCCATACGTTAGTTTTAGAACATGCTAAATGGAGCTCCAACGCGAACGCCTTTGTCACTTGAGGCCATGAGCCCGAGTCTTGGCTCAGGGAAGGGGTGGGATCCCTTCGGAGCGGGAGGGCCGGTTGGGAAGCTCCCTTGAGCGAGTGGCTGCCGCTCGTGGGCCCTGGGCTCGGGGGCTGCCGCTTCCTCGGGCCATTGCGGCTGCCCACGCGTCCCAGCGTGGCTCCTCTCTCTGGCTGTTCTGCTGAGGTGGCAGCAACTTGCCATTCTCCCCGAGAAGTCTGGAAAGCAACAGAAGAAGCTAATAAGCTCGCCCTAGCAGAACAAAATTTCTCCTTCTCTCCCTCTGTCCGTTGACCTATTTTAATATAAAAAGCTGTGTGGGTTGCACCCAAAGCTGATTTGCCCATGCCTTGAGCTAAAGACAGTGTTCCTAGAGGCAGAGAAATCCCATCCCCTTCATTTCCACCATTAGGTCTATTTGCTCAAAGCCTTGCAGCTCCATGCAGAGCTCTGCAAAATGAAGCAGCTGACCTGAAACTGTGGTTTCCAGTGTAACTAATGGCTAATACCATTACAGCCAAACTCACTGCAAGAGGTGCCTCAGCATCTCTGCGTTGTGTGAAGGTAGCAGGTGTCCCTCCTGTGCTGGCGTTTCCACGGGATCTGATCCAATTCCCCAGAGGGAACGTGGAGCTGCAGCCGGAGCAGCCTGCTCAGTGCTGCCCTCGGCCCTGCTGGGGCTGCCACAGGGTGTTTGGCTCCTGCTGCTGGCTCTGCAGGGCCAGGAGGGCAGCTTGGAAGGGAAGGTGCGAGAGCTGGATTCTCTCCCCTGCAGCTGCTGAGCTCGCTCACTGAGTACGGGATTTGGGCAATCATCTGTTCTTCTTCCTGTCCTCGGAGAGGTAAAAGGAGGGATTTCCCAAGGCGCTTTTCAGTTTGATTCCTAAACATGGAGTGTTGCTAGAGCAGTGGCCTCAGCAGCAGCTGGAGGCAGGCGTGTGAGGCCAGTGTCCCCAGGAGCTGCCCTTTGCTCCGGGAGCTGCGTGGCTGGGAAAGGGGCACCGTGCAGGTAACGGAAGTACCAAGAGCCGCAGCATTAGGAACTGCTTTGTGGAGGATGCAAATTCCTGCAGTTTCTCCTTCCCAAACCAAGTAGGGGCGAGGGGAGGGCACGCAGCAGAACAATCCATCTCTCCCTGCCTAACGCCGCTCTCCTTCTCCCCGCAGCTGAGCCAGAGGCGAAGACGGCCGCGCCGAGCGCGGCGCCCGCCGCCCCGGCCCCCTCCCCTGGCTCGCCCGGCTCCCCCACGGCCGAGGGCGCCGCGGCGGCCGAGAAGGAGGCGAGCAACCCACACGCCATCCCGCGGCGGCACGCGCCCATCGAGCAGCTCGCCAGGCAGGGCTCCTTCCGCGGCTTCCCCGCCCTCAGCCAGAAGATGTCCCCTTTCAAGCGGCAGCTCTCGCTGCGAATCAACGAGCTGCCCTCCACGGTGCAAAGGAAGACCGACTTCCCCATGAAGAACTCGGGTAAGGCCGGGCGGCCCAAGTGCCACATCGAGCTTGTGTTGTCTCTTCCTCCCTTCCCCTGCTGTGCAGCCTCTAAGCAGCCCACTGGTAAATGCTCCTTCCTGCCCCGGGGCAGATCGTTGCTCACCAACAGACAGATGTTTTTTCTAACCTGGTGTTACGAGCTTGGGAACATGCAGGAATTTCAAATACAGTGCTCACGTGTAGAAAACGAGCAGCTATGATGTGTATGTGAAACACTGAAGTGGTGCCGGAGTCGAGGCTGGTGGTTCCATAGGTGCTCTGAGTCACTCAACCAGTTCCTCAGCAAATGCCAGAGCTGCTTGACAGACAAACCCCTCCAAGGCCTTAACCACTTGTCATGGGATCCTGTAACATTTTTCCTCATGTCGGTCCTTCCATCTGTCAGAAATCCTCCTTTTGACAGCAGTGAAACCTCTTTTCACCTCGTCAGGTTTAGTAAGTAGTGCTTAGTGGGTATAAACAGCTGTATCAGTAGCGTGTGGTGCTGTTTTCACAGGCTAGCTGTGGGATTTTATAGATTCATCCCCACGTAAACATGTGGGGTGATTAGCACCTTGCATAATGCCCTAGAATCTCTGCAGCTAGGTCAGCCTGCAGCACAGCTGTGCTCTCCTTTGGCAACGGAGATGGTTTAAAGGTTCCAAGCTTTAAGATAAAAATTACTGCAGCAAAGACAGAAACACCATCAATATCTCATTTATTCCTCTTTTGATTCTTATTTTGTAGCCTGTGCAGTGAGACCATCATTGAGCTAATCAATTTAATGCTAGTGCTGCATTGCTCACAGAAGTGGTGCTGATTGAGCGCACACTGATCTGAATTTATTCTGAGGATGTTCCCATGTAAGCAGCTGCCAGTGCTGCTTACTGTCACACCACAGGCATTTTATTGGAATAGCCCCCGAAGAATTGATTTTGGGGAAAGCCTCATACAGAATTTTAGGTACATTTTTAAACATTTAATTTTTTTTTTTTATTATATGTGCTCATTATGCCACTTCTGGGCAATGAAGGACTGCTAATCAGCACTTTTCAAAAGCAGTGCAATTAAAGCTAATGAGAACATCTGGTAAGTCAGCAGTTTACTCCAAATGCCACCGTATCCACACTGTGCTGGTGTGTTGAGCTTGAAACCGAGAGTGTCCCTTGGCTTGATCTTGGAGCTCTTGTTTTCCATGATGGCAGCACGGAGCGAGGGACAGAGGCTGCTGCGGTGCTGGGCCCAGGCTCGGTCCCTGTGGGGCGGCACTGCTGGGGCAGTGACACCCCTGGCACGAGCGGTGCCGCTTCGCAGAGTACCCCCCTTGAGGCCACACCTTGATACAGTCACGCTCTTCCATACCAAAAGGGTTCAGTCTCTGTTAAAGCTGTTGGAAAACCTTTCATTTACTTTCCTGAACACCCTCTTCCAGCAACAGAGGAAAGCAGCTGTAACTGGCTTCACTTCTGGAACCCTGATCTCTTTAGCTTAGAAATACACTAATATGGCTATTTCTACCACCTGAGCTTCCCCACAAGCTTGCGAGAAGCTGCCATTCAAATCGATGGAAAGAGCACCTAGGAGCCAACGGAACCAGTTATGTTTCAGCTTAACATCAGCATTGGTAACTCCTGTTTTCCGTAGAGCGCCAGTGTGATGATTTGTTGTTCCTTTCCCAGTCCCTGAGGTGGAGGGGGAAGGCGACAGCATCAGCTCCCTGTGCTCCCAGATCACGAGCGCCTTCAGCGCGCCCACGGAGGATCCCTTCTCCTCAGCCCCCATGACGAAGCCGCTCACGGCAGTGGCACCGCAGTCCCCTGCCTTTCAAGGTGAGTGTTTCCTCGGCCCGTGGGGGGCCTGCTGCGCCACGGGGCTTGCGTGTACGTGCTGCTGCTTCCAGGAGCACGTTGGCTTCACGTGTCTTGCGTAGCCCTGTCTCCAGAGTTCGGAGGAATGCACCCTGCTTCATTCATCTTGTCCGCTGTTGTTTTTTGCCCCTGTATTTTTTGTTCTTAGTCTGTCACTAAAAGTTCATTCGTGCACCTGCATGATGATGGCTGCCTGCCAAAGGGCCTGGCTTCCAGATCATGGCAATTTAACATTCTGCCTAGTGCAGTGCAGTAACCTTCGGAGCGATGTCACGGGAACAGGACGGTGCCAGGGCGGAAGCCTGTGTGCCATCCTGTCCCTGCGGCTGCTCCCGCTTGGAAGCACTTCCATAGGCTGTGGCGAGATGCTAGCTGTGGAATTGTTAAGAGCCTCAAGCTCTGGTCCACTGACCATGAGCTTTTGCTTTTTGTCCAGTCACGTGAGAAACTACCTGTTTAATGTAGTTTCTGCCAGCATCTACGGTCTGTTCTTCCTTTGACTCTAAGCTTTTAATTTCTGGCGAGCCACAAGCCTATAAAAGCTGCAAATTGAGCTTTGCTGTGCAGCAGCTCTTAGCAGAATGCCGGTGCTCCTCAAGCACATGAAACGTGCCAGGTCCCAGGAGCTGCCTCGGTGCAAAGGCCGGCCTGGGCTCCAGCAGCTCTCGCCGCTGCTCCGCTCCACGGCCCGACCGCCGTCGCGCCCGAGCCCGGTGCGTGTTGGCAGCCACGGCCCGGCCCGCCAGCGCCCCGCATGAATTAACTGCACCCGTGTTGTCTGCTCCCCTTTTAGTTAATGGCACTGCCTCTGCCTTCTGTGTGCTTGCTGCTAAACCATCCCAAGCTGCTGTAGCGCCCACGGTCATGCCGGTTCGGGAAACCAATCCGTGGGCTCATGCGCCTGCCGCTAGTACCGGAGCTGTGGCTGTGGCCTCGGGTAAGACGGGACGTGGATGCTGTGCAGTCCCTTGAGCGCTGGATGAGGAGTGTGAGGGAGCCTGCGGGAGAGCTGCCGGGTGGCAGGAAGAGGGACAAAGGGCGGAAGCAGGAGCCGCGCGCCCGGGTGGATGGAGGGAAGCTGTGGACGCGGTGCCTCGGCGGCTATTAGCTGGCCCTGTCTTCAGTTTGGCAGCTTTTTAGAAAAATGGTGCATAAAAGGGAAGTAATGAAAGAAATAGTGTGTGTCTGGGGAGGAAAATAACCGGGGGGGGGGGGAGGGGAGTGAGCTTGTGCTTTCCAGCCTAAGCAAGGCGGGGGAGACTAAGGCAGGTGCTTAAAGGTTTTCCAAGTCAGTGTGGTGTTTGGTAGGGGTAGCCTGTGCCTGCAGCCCCGGCTGCCCCGGCTGCGTGCGCACACGCAAGGCCAGCGGAGAGGTGCAGGGCTGCAGGCGTGTGGCGGCTCCTGGTGGGCGCCTGGCCTGGGCACGCGGCCGAGAGGGCCGGGGCTGCTGCCCGGCCCTGGCAGCAGCAGCTCCTGCCCCTCGTGTGCGAGCCCTGAAATGCGGCTTTCAAGGGCCCCCCCCCGAAAAAGCAGCAGTAAAGGCAGCTGTAGGTGCAGCTCATCCAGCCTCCACCGTTGGCTTAGATGAGGAGTGCTGGGCAATAGCGAGGCTGCACTGCAGCCTGGCGCTCTGCTCATCCCGTTGGAAAGACGGTGAGGTGCAGAAAAGAGGGAAAGAGAAAACCATGGAGAGGGAAGCCAAGAGTGCGGAGCTGATGGGTGATGGTTGTGAACTGTGGGAGGAAGGGCGATGACGGGGAGTATTTTTTTAATTGCTGAAGACAGATGAGTTAAAAGCAGAGCTGTTTTTATAGGAAAAAAATCTGAAATATTAAGTGTTGAACAGTGCAAAAGAATTAGAGAGGTTAACAGCCCGAGTTGCACATGGAGAGAGTGAGGAAAGAGTGGAGAGGAAGGACGAATATAATCAAGGGAGTCAGTGTAAGTACAGTTTATGTGCATTGTAATTTGATAGATTTACTTAAATATTCATGTCGAGGGCAGGATGTGTCATGGCACGTGAACGTGGTCTTAACAGCTGTCCAGGTTCCACTGCCCTCGGGTAAGGGCAAAGCCTGACTGCAGCCACAGGGCCAGGGGCCTCACGAGCAGCGCTGTGCTCAGCAGCACGGCCCTGCTGAGCTGCGCGTCCCCCAGGGCTTCTCCGGGCCAGGGGCTGCGCGGCCCTGAGCGCTCGGCCGGCTCCGCACAAAGCGAGGCCGGGGGGGGGGTCTCGGGGAGCAGCCGGTCCCGTCCCTCCGCACCGGGCACCCCCGTATGCAGTGGTGGGGCGGGAGGGAGGCCGGCGGGGCCGCAGGCAGCGTCAGCGTCTCTGAGCCCGCTCTCCTTGGCAGGACCCGAGTGGAGCAGCTCCTCGGCCACGGCCTCCCCCAGCCTCTTCCCGGGCAGCCACCGGCGCACGCCCTCCGAGGCCGACCGCTGGCTCGAGGAGGTCTCCAAGACGGTGCGGGCGCAGCAGCCGCCCGCACCGCAGCCGCTGCTGCCAGCGCCCGCGGCGGCGCCCCTGCCTGCGCCGCCCTTCGCGGCGCCCACCGGCTTCCTGGCGCCGCAGCCGCTGCCCGTGGCCGTGGGGCCGCCCCTGCCGCCGCCCTTCGTCCCCGCGCCGCCCTACGTGCCCAACGGCCTGGGCTACGCGGCGCCCAGCGTGCCCGTGGTGGGCATCACGCCCTCGCAGATGGTGGCCAACGTGTTCGGCACGGCGAGCCACGCGCCGCCCGTGCCCGTGCCCGCCAGGCCGCAGCCGCCCGCGCCCGCCGAGGCTGCCGCCAGCCCCTTCCTCAAGGCGGCCGTGGCGCCCAACGGCTCCGCGGCGCCCAACGGCCTCGAGGGCGGCGCGTGGGCCGCCGAGGACAGGCCGGCGCAGCCGCCCGCCGCCGACCCCTTCGAGGCGCAGTGGGCAGCGCTGGAGAGCAGGGCCAAGCAGCGCACGAACCCCTCGCCCACCAACCCCTTCTCCAGCGACCTACAGAAAACCTTCGAGATTGAACTTTGAGCAGCCTCCCCCGCCAGTGCCGCTCACTGTACAGTAGTAGAGGGGGACAAAGGGAGCTGAGGGGACTGTTCCGGATCCGTTTGCTTTGATAATCCCCAAGGAGCCCCTGCCAAGGACAAAGGGTTAGAAGAAGGAGCGATGTCGGAGAGGTAACAAACACAGGAGGCAGCCGAGGCGCCGCTCGCGCTGCCGAGGAGGCCGCGGGCGCCGCGGCC